GATTTAATCACTACTATTTTATTTTAATTATTAATCTTTTAAATTTAAGTATTATCTTTTTTAATTTAATTATTATTATATTATCAGATTTAATTATTATCCTTTTTAATTGAAAAATAATTAAATTAAAAAAGATAATACTTAAATTTAAAAGATTAATAATTAAATTTAAAGAAATGATAATAATTAAATCTAGGGCAGAATTAATTAATTTAAAAAGATAATAAAGTGTAAAAAGGTAAAAATTGAATTTAATTTAAAGTGGAAAAATGGAAAATATAATTAAACTAAAAATGTCTCAGTTGAATAAAAAATAGAAAGACAATTAAAGAGAAATAAAACTAAATTAAAAAATAAAAATGCAAAAAAGTTAAACATGGGAGAAAGATAAAAAATAGTATAAAAATAAAAAGAAATTAAAAAGAATTAAAATGATGAAAAAGATTTAAAAAGAAAAAAGTGGATTAATAAAAGAAATAAGAGCGTAATAAAACTAATAAATAAAAAGGAAATAGTAATTAATAAAAGATGAAAGTAATTTCATAAATATAAAACAGTTGAAAAAAGGAAATGATAATCAAAGTAATAAAGATTTTAATAAAACTAATTAAAAAATAATAATAAAAAAAGATAATGATAATTCTAAAAATGAAAATAATAATACAAAGATAATTATAATTGTAAAAGAGGAATAAAGGCAATTAATTTTATAATCATAATAAAGCCTTTAAAGTAACAAGACTAATCGGAAGCTAAAATAAAATAGAATAAAATAAAATTAATAAAATAAAATAAAATAAATAAAATAAAATAAAATAAAGATAATGAAGGGTTTGATTTCGTGTGTACATACACTCCAGCGCCGCGAACTCAGCCAGAGTCTGAAATGAAGCTTAAAGAGCCGATATTTGGGCGTTTTTGAGTTTAAAATTGAACATGAATAATAAAAAAAATCAATTAAATTAATTAGATTCATTTTAATTGCCAAAAAGAAGAAAAAGAAGACCTTTTTACACCAAGATAGCGCATTGAGCCATCACGAAACTCCCGCGGGAACACTCGGCAGCCCAGGCAGCAACAGAGAACCTCCGCTCAATCCTAGCTGCAATATTTATTTTAAAATAATTAATTTATTCATTTATTTAGTGTTTATCTGGGAGCAGCAGAAGCAGCAGCAGCAGCAGCAGCAGAGCAGCAGCAGCAGCAGAAGCAGCAGCAGCAGAAGCAGCAGGACACGGTCTTCTGTCTCGCAGCAAACACCAGCCGAACCTTCTCTAGCCAAAGAAGAAACAAAATTAAAATAAATTTATATTTTCAGATTAAAATTGAATAAGGCAGATGCCTCAAACCCTAAACCCTAAACCCTAAACCCTACACCCTGGGCCTCTACCGAGGGGGCCCAGCCAGACCGCTGCCGCCCGCCGCGTCCCAAACCCTAAACCCTAAACCCTAAACCCTCTACACACCCGATGAAGCTTTAAATCTACAATTTGAAAGCAAATTAGTTATTTGCTTTTTTACAAAGAAGCCTTGTTCAAATCCCAAACCCTAAACCCTAAACCCTAAACCCTAAACCCAAACCTTAGAGTTTCGAGCTGCGCGGGCCTCAGGCCATTGGTCGGGTGTCTGCGCGGCTGCTTCCGCGGCGCGTGCCGGCGTTCCGTGCGCAACCGCTAAGCCCTAAACCCTAAACCCTAAACCCTAAATTAGGGTTTGCCAAGCGGCGATGGCCGCCGCGCCCTCCATACCCCCCGGCCTAACCCCCGGGTGTATATACACCGCGCAAACCCTCAAGGGCCTCCCAGACCCTTTTGCTGACCACTTTGGAGGGGGCCCCAGCAGCAGCTGGCAGTACCAGGGGGGCCCCCCTTTAAGTGGGCTTGGGGGGCCCCTGGGGGGCCCCCTGGGGGCCCCCTGCGACAGCAGCAGCGGCAGCAGCAGCAGCAGCAACAGCAGCAGCAGGTCCCTGTGGGGCCGCCCGCGCCCCTCGCTGCACAGCAGCGAAGAGAGCCTGTGGGGCTCTGTCTCCGACCGCTGCAGCGAGCAGCAGCAGGAGCAGCAGCAGCAACAGCAGCAGCGGCAGCAGCTGCTGCTGCAGTTGAGACAGAAGCAGCAGCAACCCTTTTTGGAAATTTCGGAAGCAGATAAAGAAGCAGCTCGAATTGGGCTGTATCTACAGCAGCAAGCTGTGGAGCCCGTGCGGCCCGCAAACGCCCGGCGCAGCCCGAAGCAGCAGCAGCAGCAGCAGCAGCAGCAGCAGCAGCGGCTGCAGCAGCAGCAGCAGGCGGAGGCCGAGGCGGAAGCAGCAGCAGCAGCAGCAGCAGCAACAGCAGCAGCAGCAAGGCCCCCCGCGCTGACGGCGACGCTGGTGCTGAACGCGCGGACGCGGCAGCTGGAGCTGCGGGCGGGCAGCAGCAGCAGCAGCAGCGCAGCAGCAGCAGCAGCAGCAAGCAGCAGAAGGGGCTTCAAAACCCCACAAGAGGCGCAGCAGCTCGCGCTGCTGTGGGAAGCCTTCAGCCGCAGCTGTCGAGACACCTCAGGCTGGCTGCGAACAGCAGATTTTGTTTGGAGTCTTCAAAGAGATAAAAGAATTCAATTAATTTTTGGAATTAAAAACAAACAGCAGCAGCAGCAGCAGCAGCAGCAGCGGGGGGCTGCAGCAGCAGCCACCAACTGGCTTCGCGCGCTCTTCAGAAACAGAGACGAGCCTTTGCAGCTTGTGAGCAAAAACACTTTTTGCTGTTTGTTTTTGTTTTTTATTTTTAATTTATTTTAATTTATTTTAATTTGTTTTATTATTTTGTTATTTTATTTATTTTATTTATTCTATTTGTTTTGTCTGTTTTGTTATTTCGTTTTTGTTGAACCTTTTTGCCGCTTTCGTTTCTCGCCTTTTTGTCGCCTGCGCCCAAACCCTAAACCCTAAACCCTAAACCCTTGCGCCCCATGCCTGAGCTCCTGCCGATCCCTTCGCTGCCGCTCCCCTCCCCCCAAACCCCTCCCCCGAAACCCTAAACCCCAAACCCTAAACCCTAAACCCTAAACCCTAAACCCTAAACCCTTGCGACGCAGGCCCCCGAAAGCGAGCCCAAAATGAGGGCCCTTTTAAATGCTGTGCGGCTGGCGGAGTCGCAGCTGATAAGCAACGAGCGGGCTGTGGACGATCTCAAGATCACGTACAAACCCTAAACCCTAAACCCTAAACCCTAAACCCTAAACCCTAGCCCAGCTCTTGGGCTCTAGGGAGCACACGCGAAGTCCTGGGCTGGAGAGCCGCAGATCCCGCAGCCGACGCGCGCGGCAGCAACCAACAGATGGCGCTTAGGGTCTAGGGTTTAGGGTTTAGGGTTTAGGGTTTAGGGTTTGGTGGCTGCAGATTCGAGACCTTCGCTACAGTCTTCGCCAAATTCTTAGGCGACTCAAACCCTGCAGAATGGCCACAGGGGCAGACCAACTCTGTCGAGATCTTTGCGTGAGCTGGGGTTTAGGGTTTAGGGATTAGGGTTTAGGGTTTAGGGTTTAGGGTTTGTTGCGTAGGCTTGGTTTCCTGTTTGAAGGTTTCTGCCTGCGGCGCATTTTCACAACTGCGGCCTGCGCGCCTATGGCGCAGGCCGAGGGTTTAGGGTTTAGGGTTTAGGGTTTGGGGTTTAGGGTTCAGGGTTTAGGGTTTAGAGTTTAGGGTTTAGGGTTTGCGTTTAGGGAAAAAGACCCTCCTTTTGGCCAAAGTGTCGCCGAAATGCTTCTGCGGGATTCTCTGCTGGGCGTGGGCCTGACGGCCAGCGGTGAGGTGTACAGACAGCTCGTGCAGCAGTAGCAGCAGCAACAGCAGCAGCTGCAGCAGCAGCAGCAACAGGAGCAGCAGCAGCAACAGCAGCAACAGCAGCAGCAGCAGCAGCAGCAGCAGCAGCGGGATCTGCGCGGATAAATGGCCGCAAAGTGTCAAATAAATGGCAAATAATGATAAATAATTGAAATAAATAAATTTAATTATATTTAATTAATTAATTTGCTTTTTTAATTCAACCATTTGCTGCTGCCTTCAGAATGCATAGCCCCCAATGGCCTGCGCTTTGGCTCTCTTAACCTGCTGGAGCCGCCGCAGCTTTCTTTAGCAGCAGCAGCAGCGGCAGAAGAAGAAGCAGCAGAATTAAAAGCTGAAAAAATTAAAATCAAAAAAGGATCCAGACGCACGCAAAACGCTGTAGAAGAAAGGGTAATTTGCTGCTGCTGCTGCTGCTGCTGCTGCTGCTCTTGGTCGTGCTGCTGCTGCTGCTGCTCTTGGGGGTGCTGCTGTTGCTGGTGGTGGTTCTGCTGCTGATGGCCGTGCTACTGTTGCTGCTGGTCGCGCTGCTGCTGCTGCTGGCTACTGCTGCTGGTCGTATTGCTGCTGCTTGCGGATTTCTCGCTGCTGGTTCTGGATGTTGCGCTCCTGCTGTTGCTGCTGCTGCTGCTGAGTGTCGTGCTGTTGCTGCTGCTGGTTGTCGTGCTGCTGCCTCTGGTGGGCCTGCTGCTACCGGTCGTGCTGCTGTTGCTGCTGCTGGATTTCGTGCTGCTCTTGCTGTCGCTGCTGGACATGCTGCTGCCGCTGCTACTGGGTGCTGCGGTGCTGCTGCTGCTGCTGCTGTTCGTGCTGCTGCTGTTGCAGTTGCTGCTGATTATGCTGCTGTTGCCGTCCATGCGGTTGCTGTTGGTGCTCCTTTCGCTGCTCTGACAGCTGCTGCTGCACCTGCTGCAGCAGCAGCAGCAGCAGCAGCAGCTGCTGCTGCTGCTGAGGCAAATCTTGCTGTGTTTGATTCGTGTTTAGCTGCGAGTCGAGGCGGAGAGAGTCGAACTGGAGCTGCTGCAGCAAGCTGCAAGAAAAGAATCCTTAGAGAGGAGTTTGATGCAGGAGGAGCAGCAGCTGCAGCAGCGGCTGCAGCAGATCAGCAGCAGCAGGGACGCAGAAGCCTGGCGTCTGAGGTCTGTCCCCAAGTTCAGGCCAAGCAAAGAAGCAGCAGCAGCAGCAGCAGTGCGAAAAGCGCAGCGCGCAGACGCGTATGATAAGCCAGCAGCAGCAGCAGCAACAGCAGCAGCAAGGGGCAGCAGCGAGAAGGCCACGGTAGCCCCTAACGTCCGTGCTGCAGCCGACCGACTGCAGCAGAGCAGCAGCAGCAGCAAAAGCAGCAACAGCAGCAGCAGCATCAGCAGCATCAGCAGTGTCGCCAGTAGCAGCAGCGAGGAGAGTTTAGGTGGCAGCAGCAGCAGCAGCAGCTTCAATAGCAGCGGCAGCTCATCGAGTCAGCAGCAGCAGAAACAAAAGCAGCTGCAGAAACGGCAGCAACAGAGAGAGCAGCAGCAAAAGCAGCGGCAGCAGCAGCAGGAAGAAGACCACCGCAGCACTTCAGCGTCGCTGCTGCTGCAGTCTATTGCAGCCCTCAAAGCATCGCGTAGACAGCAGCAGGAGCAGCAGCAGCAGCGACAGCAGCAGCGGCAGCACCGGCAACAGCAGCAGCAAAAAAGCAAAAGCTGCGCTGCGCTTCCGCCTGCCGCCATTTTGAAGAAACTGGGCATGACTGTGTAGCAGCAGCAGCAGCAGCAGCAGCAGCAACAGCAGCAGCAAACGCGCTGTTTCAAATGAGCCTAACCTCCCTCTGCTGTCCTTTACCTTCACGTCGCCTGCCACTATGCACAAACAGCTAGTTAGCTAGCTGCAGCTAGCTAGCTAGCTGCAGCTAGCTAGCTAGCTCTATCTAGCTAGCTGCAGCTAGCTAGCTAGCTTTATCTAGCTAGCTGCAGCTAGCTATCTAGCCCCAGCTAGAGCTACCTAGCTAGCTAGCTGCAGCTGGCTGTGCGGCCCTGGCTAGCTGCAGCTAGCTGGCCAGCCAGTTGCAGCTAGCTGTCTACTTCTAGTTAGCTGAAAGCGGAAGTACATGGCCAGTGTGAGACCCGTAGCTTGCTGGCTAGCTAGCTAGCCATCCAATTAGCTAGCTAGCCAGATAGCTACCAACTGGCTAGCTAGCTAGCTAGCTAGCTAGGCGCGGGCCAGAGGGTCCGAGTGGAACGGTAGAGTCCTCAGATCGACAAAATAAAAAGAAACGGGTCCGGTCTAGCTAGCTAGCCGGCCAGCTAGCTAGCCAGCTAGCTAGCTAGCCAGCTAGCCAGCTAGCTAGCTAGCCAGCTAGCCAGCTAGCTAGCCATTCAGCTAGCTGCTGCTTGTCCGCTGCATGGGGCTGCGGCCTATCTGGCCTAGGCGGAGCAGCACACGGCCCGGGGGGCCACAGCTAGCTAGCTGCGTAGCTAGCTAGCTAGCTAGCTAAACAGCCAGCTAGCTAGCCACACGTATCAACAGCTAGCTAGCTGGCCTAGCTAGCCAGCTGGCTAGCTCGCTCCCTGTTGAACGGCTAGCTAGCTAGCTGTGTAGCTAGCTAGCTGTGCAGCTGGCCAGCTGCCTCTCTAGCTACCCAGCTGGCTCCCCAGCTAGCCAGCTAGCTAGCCAGCTAGCCAGCCAGCTAGCTAGCCAGCTAGCCAGCCAGCTAGCTAGCCAGCTAGCTAGCTAGCTAGCTCGCTGCTGCTCGCGCTCTGCTGCGTCTAGCTGGAGGCCAATGAGCCCGAAGTGCGGCAGCACGTAAGTGGGGGCCCCGGGGGCCCTAGGGTTTAGGGTTTTGAGGGTTTTGCTGCTGCAGCAGCCGGAGAGCAGCAGCAGGGAGTGGCAGCAGCAGCTAGCAGCAAAGGCGACGTCGGTCTCGAGGCGGTCGCCCACCATCAAGGTGCTGCTGCAGTCCACAGCTAGCTGGCTAGCTAGCCAGCTAGCTAGCCAGCTAGCTTCTTTCCCCACACTTGCTGCTGCTCGCCCCACAACTGCTTCCACAGCAGCTAGCTGCGCCCCATTTGCTGGCAGCCGCAAACCCCCCACGAAGTTGAAGCTGTCCCGGTTTGTTGCAATGAACGGCATCAGCTCCTCGTCTTCCTGCTGCTGCTGCTGCTGCTGCTGCTGCTGCTGCTGCGGCTGCGGCTGCTGCGGGGGGTGCGGCTGCTGCGGGGGCTGCTGCTGCTGCTGCTCTTGCTGCTGCTGCTGCTGCTGCTCTTGCTGCTGCTGCTGCTGCTCTTGCTGCTGCTGCTGCTGCTCTTGCTGCTGCTGCTGCTGCTGCCGCGGCCTCTTTTGCTGCAGGTAGAGGCAAGCCAGGGCCATTTTCTGGTAGTTGAAGTTTCGATCCCACCCCACAACTACGACTCCCACGCGGGGATCGAGTCGATCCCACGCAGGAACGCCAGTTGCTGCTATCATTTGCTGCAGCAGCTGCTGCTCCTGCTGCTGCTGTGTCTGCGGCTGCTGCTGCTGCTGCTGCTGGCCGTTCAGCTGGCTGGCTCCTCCAACGCCCGCCTCCCCGCCCCCCACCTGCTGCTGCTGCTCTCGCTGCTGCTGCTGCTGCTGCTGCTGCTGCTCGTGGTCCGAAGCAAACAGCAGCTCAATGCCTTGAGCAGCAAACTCTTCCCTCATTGCCTCCTCTCCGATCCCAAAGGCGACTTTGACTGTGGGGTAGTTGAGGCGTATGTACACCGCAGCGGCGTAGGCCATCGTTATCACCTGCAGCAGCAGCAGCAGCAGCAGCAGCAGCAGCAAAGTGCACCGCGCAGTCCAAAGTGACGCTCTTTTGCTGCTGCCGCTGCACCCAGCAGCAGCTGCGCAGCCAGCAGCCCCAGCAGCAGCCCCAGCAGCAGCAGCGCGCCCCTCAGCGCCGCCCTCAGCAGCAGCAGCAGCAGCAGCAGCAGCAGCAGCAGCAGCAAACCTCGTGGGGGTAGGCCTCGAAGCCCGCCTGCTGCAGCTGGCGCGCGCAGCTGCTGCGGCTCTTTGCTGCAGTGTTTGTCAAAAAGAAAACTTTTTTGTTTTTGCGGCGGAGACGCTGCAGTGTATGTACAGCTCCCGCCAGCGGCGCGCCGCCCCACAGCAAAACCCCGTCGATGTCCAGCAGGAAAGTGGAGTACTTTTCAACGAGGGTTTGGGACTCCAAACCCTCGGAGCCCCAAACCCTAAACCCTAAACCCTCGAGTTCCGCGCACGCCGCCGCCTGCGCGGCCCCGAACGCCGCCGCGTCCGTCAGCGCCAGCAGCGACATTTCGCGCTGGGGTTTAGGGTTTAGGGTTTGGGGTTTGGGGCT